CCTGCTGTTAATCTTTCCATGCTGTTTGCAAACAGTACTCGGAGACTTTGAGTCCGTGCTCAACAAAGCTGATTGCAAAACCCTGATTAATTTCTGTGATGCAGAATCGGGCCTCAAATCTCTGCTTGAGGCTTGATTTATACTGGATGTTCCAATGCATGCAGGATTTGGCTAAAGGCTCTTTTATAAATACATTTTTTTTAAGTGAAGTTTGCCTCAATTCAGATAAGAAATCTTTTAAAAAAATAATATTGATTTATCTCCCGGGTTTGCCCCCCCTCAGCATTTGACCTCATATTTTAAAGCAATCCAGCTAAGTCCACATAGAAATACTGCATTACAGTTCAATGCTGTTTATGCTTGAAATTATATTATTTCTTGATAACATATCCAATGTTTACTAACCAATAATTTTACTCTTGGTTTTAGTTGTCTCTTAGAGAGCAAAGAAAGTAGGGATCAGTCCTACAGCACAGAGATTTATTTTTTTTTTTTTGTTAAGAAATCATGACATTTTCTGAGCCATTAGGAAAAAGATCAAGTAAATTCCCCCCCTTTTCTATACAGAAACAAAATGCGGTTAAAAAAAAAAATTTCTAAAATCATTCCGTTAATGTAATTAATGACTGACTCCTTTCAGCATCGGGAAACTGAGGCTGCAGCACTAGGCTGTACAGTAGGAGGGCACTTCAGTGGAGACCCACGCTTCAGTGTATTCAGCCCAGCACTTCAGTACATACTTAAGTCCCCAAGTCCAGTAAGACTGAAGCACATGTCGAACGGCTTTGCTGAGTCAGAGCCGGAGATATGGAAATAACGTGGATGCCTCTCTGGCTTCAAAGAAACTTTTTGCGGAGGGCTCTGTGCAGACACACAGATCTGCTCCAGGTGGCTTAGCCCGGGGTTAAGAACTTGCTTATTACAGAGTCAGAAATTAGAAGTGAAACACAAGAAATGGAACCACTTTTTTTTTTTTTTTTGTGTGTGTGTATGTGCGGATATAGGGACCAAATCCTGCGTGCTTTCCTTGTATAAATAGTTTGACTGAAATCTTGCTGACTGCTGATCTCTGGAAGGCGGCTTAGGGAAGTAAACAAACAAAAAGCGCATGCAGAGAAGCTGTGATTAAAGACAGCAACCTAGGAGTTATGTCGGCTTTGTTTTCATGGCCAAAAACTCCTTCTTGCAATGTGGTTAACGTCTGAGGGCTTCATTTGACGTATTGTAATGGGCACTGATCAAAACCCAAAGAAAAAACATGGATCCTGCTCCAAAAAAGTCAGCATCAAAAGAAGAAATAAGGGAAGGACAGAAATAGTTTTAAGGCAGGGTTCTCCCCTTCTTATTTCTCTATTCAAGTGCTTTCTGGGATACCTTTAAATAGATGGCTAATTCACGCTGCCTAGCATAGTCTAGTTCAATGAGGAAATACAAGAGATTGATCCTTGGAATAATTACAACTGCCCTACTGACTGTTTTAGAGCTGAGGTCAAACCTCAGTTTTAAACCTGGAGTTTAATATTAATTATCATCGTACTGTGGTAGCTCTTCAAAGTCCCCATTGAGTCAGGTTCCCTGTGTGCGAATGTATACCTGTGCTGTTTCATTTTCAGGAGGTTTTGCCCCTATGTGCAAACATACACCTTTCCTGTTTCATTTTCAGGATGCTCAGCCAAAAGAGTGTTGGTCATAGAACAGGCACAGATTACTTTTTGCTTTGTATGAGTGGTACTTACATAAACGTTTATGCATTTTCTCCTTCTTACGCTCCCATTTGGTGGTAAAAAGGACGTCAAGAGGTTCAGTGTGCAGATGTCTGCATTACTAGTGCTTTTTTCTGGAGAGTTAATGCATCTTTTGAGGTGGGAAGCCTCAGTCTTGCTTAAACAGATTAAAAGTAGTACTCCTCCCATTGCAAAATGGGTTTGGTCCTGCTCCAGTAACAGGAGCCCTTAATGAAGTTATCACCCGTGATTTCTTGTCCTCCAAACACATGGGTTTAGCTCTCCTTATTTGAGGGGTGTCAGCGAGGGGTATAGGTGTGCTGAGTGTCTGGGCACTGGTACTCAGGTGCTGAGTCCCCCATGCACATCACTACTTGCATCTGCATAGGCACGACAGCATCAGGGGAATTATTCAGGAGTCGTGTTATGCCCGGACGTAAGACTTTGCAGGGTCCAACCCATTAGATGTTTTGCTCTTTCCATTATAAAAATAACTTTCAGTGCTAAGACAATTTTTTTTTTCTTTTTTCTTCCCCCAAAATTAATAAGTATTCTGTGATTCTGTTTGAAAGATTAGCCCTTCAGGGAACTTTCTACAAAACCCAGTTTTATCCCTGTCTTCCTGCTGTCAACGTTTAAGACAAGTTTATGTTGCAATGAACACTTAAATAAAAATACTTTTCAGAGAGTCTTTTGTAAATCTTCTAAAGTGCTATCTGGGGATAGAATTCCTATGTGATATTTTATGTTTGTTCTTCCAAATTGCTAAGACTGTGTGAAACATCAGTTTAATAAGTTTCAGCATGTACCTTTGTTCGCTCTTCTTCCTTTTTCACCTCCTTTCTTTCACTCAAAAGCCTCTTTTTTTTTTAATCATTTTATTTTTTTACTGTATTTGGCTACAATCATTTGTTTAATGAAGTTATAGTGTTTACACACTTACAGAGAACCCTAGGTAGGAGACCTTTAAAAGGCATTATATTTTGCAAATTATTTGAGACATTAAGGTAATTAAAAGCAGCATGCACAGGGCTTGTACGACCAGACCAACTGTTAAACTAAATAGGAGAGTGGTGTCGCTTTCCAAAATATGCAAGAAGGAAGCAGTACCCAAACCTTGCATATATCATGAAACATTATATGCCACGGAGCAGATTCACATCCTAATATGGCTTCTAAAGCCTTTGTGAACTGGAGTGAGCAGCCACTCGCATCTGGCTGGCCTTTAGGCAGCAGAGCCCGCGCGAACTTCTGGGGGAGCCTCGTGTGCCGCGCCGGAATGTGCACGTTTATTTCTCTAACCCGTTTGCTCGTGCACGCTCGCGGTTTCCTCGACTTCTGCTTCAGAGGGCTGACACGTCTAGTTTTGAACCCTCTTCTCCGAGGCGTACAAGCTCGGGCTGGAGGAGAAGCGCGCGGATAGGTGCAGTCCTCCAGGTGGAACCACGTGCTGCAGTGGGATCGACGGCGTGTAGCAAATCAGTAAAGAAAAGCAAGGTCTATTAATCCATTCATGTAAGTGATATTCAGGTGCCGATCCTCCTGTGACTTTCCCGTTAGCGCTCTGCTAACATCCAGGCACTTCGTAGTTTGAAAGCAGTGCCAAGCGTTAACCACCCATGGCGTAAAACAATTGTGCTCAGCTTTTGGACACGAGAAGATCTTTACTCACTCCCCAGCACATATTTGAAATAGTTTGGCTTTTTGGTCCCAATTAGCCAAAGCTTGCTGAGCCTGACACTCTGTGATCACAGTAAACATTATTAGCTATCCAGACATACAAAATTAGAAGTCAGGCTCCAAAAAAAAAAAAAATCACAAGACTGGCTGAAAAGTTGCAGGACACATTTGGGGCTCTTTTTGTTTTGCCTTCTCTAATTCAGGGGTCTAAAGATTCCCACTTCTTTTCTTTTTTTTTTTTTTTTTTTTTTTAAGGAAAGTAAAGTTAATTCTCATGAGAGGTAAAATTCTTTTGGCATAAGAGGATTCCAGGTCTTGGGTTTTCAGATACATCAAAATTTTCCATGAGCCTTGCAGGGCAATCAGCAGAATCGATAGCAGTGCAGATACCTGTATGCTAGGAATATTTTATTGCGATGGGAACTCTGGCTCAGCATCCCTCCCGTGGACATAGCTGTGCCAGCCAAGCTGTGCTTTGGATCAATGTAAGGAAAACTTCCTGCATGTCTGAAGTGAGCTGTGCTGGTAAAACTTTAGTTTCGCTGTGTCTTGGGGGTTCTGCTGGCAAAAACGGAGAGCGCAGGATCAAATCTCATTCCTATTTGAGCAAGAAGGCTGTGCTCCCCGGAGTCTTTGGTATGGGCATTCCTTGGTTAGGGGTCAGCGTAGTCTATGAGAGAGTTACACCCCATCGTTTAAGTGGCTTTTGCATTCTCCTCTTGCCTAAGCAAAATCATAGCTCAACAACAACAACAAATGTTTATCTTTCTAACCTGGCATCTCAGCTCTGCCCCACCTGCCTAATGGAAGAAACCCATCTGTGTGGCCAAAGACATCACCCAAAATGAGAGTCAGGCCCTCAGCAGTGATAACCAACACTAACCGAAGCAGCACAGGTCTGGTTCGCACTAGCTGAATGTCTAGTTCAGCTCTTAATTCGCTATCAGAAAAGAACATTTGGGTTAAATAATTTTCAGCAATACGTTATTCCTATAAAATCGTTGTTTTTAAATAGCCTGGCACTTGTAATTAGTCTAGTCATAATGTCTATATCATTGTATCTACTTGTCTTCCAGGCTTCCTTCTCTTCTGCTTAATTTCCCAAGTGGTGGATTGTTAATTACAGAGCTGCAATTAATTTTTTCATGTCAGACCACTGTGCTGGACTGCAGCCTTCAACCTCTTATAAACAGACGTCATCACAGCTAACATGTGATCGAGTGCAGGTTAAAATCATTATCACGGCTTAATGTTACATATAAAGAAAAATGCATTTTTATCTACATTCCCCCATTATCTCTCTAACGACACCATGTTTTTTCTCTCGGAGCTGTAGTCATTGTTATTTTAAGTGCTTGTTAGTACAGCTGTGGGGAAAGACATGATCAATTTTTCATTTGGGAAAAGACACAACAGCAAATGTTAATGTCTCCATTTTAGATAACTAGATAAAATAATAGGTATGGTTAGAGAGCAATCTAGCACTTGGACATGGGATTTTTCATTATGTTCCGGTGAATTAAACAACTCGAGTCATCTGCTTTACTGTCTTTCATTAATGCTTGTATTTCAGGCGTTCATTAATTTGGGGGAGATTGTGTGTGTCTTGTTCGAGTAGCAGCTCTGTATTACCCTAAGCTCTCAGGAAATCCATGTCTGTGAAATCACCACATATCCCGACAGCAAGACATTACTGGCTTTTTAATTTCATGCAGAGGTGGTGCCCACGCACAAGCCAAGAGGTGAGATTTTTATAAGCATGTCTTTTCCCTGTGTGTTTTTTTTTTTTTTTTTTTAGGTTGTACGTGCACCCTGACTCCCCGTTCACAGGAGAGCAACTGCTGAAGCAGATGGTGTCCTTCGAAAAAGTCAAACTCACCAACAACGAGCTGGATCAGCACGGCCACGTGAGTAGCCCTGCTGGTGGGAAAGGGTAAAGGAACCACAACAGGGGAATTGCTCACCTGTACCACAGGGCTAAACTTGCGGCAGAGAAACCGCAACGGGGACAGGCTGCCATGGCCCCCACCTTTCTTGGCCAGCCCTTCCTATCGCAGTGGAGGAGGACACTGTGTGAAGCTCAAACATGTTGGGTTTTAATCTCTGTTGTAGAGAAACAGGTGACTTCAGAATTCAGGCTTTTTATCTTTCATAAGGGAGAGCCCAGGTCAACGCAAGTGTTCAAATCATGCTCTTACTGCTGTCGGACGCAGAACATCCATCAGGGACAAGTTCAGGGTGGAGCTGAGCACCAAAGTGAGGGAGAGAAGGGAGGCAGGTGAGCTTTTTGTCATGCTTCTGCCCCCATTTTGCTGTGACTTGGCAGTATGCTCTGGCACGTGCACTGGCCAGAAAGCTCACATGTTTTTCCACGTGTACTTGGAAGCTCCATCTTGTTACAGGCAACCTGTTAGGGTTGGGTCCATCAGTAAGAGCTCTTGTACTTCCATGTACACAGCATGGGCACAGAGTCAGCAGAAATAGCTATGTGACACCAAATAAAGGCTACTGAATTAGAAAAATAAGTGTGCCTCAGTTGCCCTTGAAATAACTGTAGGCTACCTGCAAGTCAAGATGCCACAGGGTGGACTTGGACCTGTAAAGGAGACAGGTCCCAGCTCTGATTGGTACCAGTTTGTTGTCACAAACCCTGAGGTTGGAAACTGGTAAACAGGATGCAGAGCTGGTGGCCGTGAGCTCCTGCTATGCTCCATCCGCAGGGACAACTCCATTAGTTACATGGCTGTCTAATGGTAGGTGGTAAGAAAAAGTGTTGTCTGTCCTGTCTCCTCCCCGAAAGTGCCTGTAAAGTTCAGGAACGGCTTGGTAGCACCTCCAAATTGCAAAGGAAGAGCCTCCGGGCTTGGCAATTCCCCAAGGAAAGCTGAAGGAGCAGGGGGATGGATTTGAAAGGGTTGTTGGCTGAGAACGGGGCAGTTAAGAAGCATGAGAGTAAAGGCAGTGTTAGTAAACGAGGTGTCAGGAAGAGAGGAGTGATTTTGAACTCTGAAGCATATGTAGGGGTAACTAACCTGTAAAGCTGAATAATTGTGGCATACACAGTATCAAGAATCCCTCCCCTGGTGTGGTATTTATTGCCTCTTGGGACTGTGTGAGACAGTGGCTGTTCGTCTTAACTGTGCGTTGTGCAAATGTTTCTCATCCAAAAGACAATTGTTACTCATTCCAAGACCTAAAAATTGAATGACAGCCACGATCATTTAAAATATATCCTGGAAACAGCAACAACAAAAGTAGCTTTTGTTTTTGTTTGTTTGGTTTTTTTGTTTTTTGTTTTTAAAAAAAGAAAGCCCAGATAGATGCCTGTGTGTTGTTCTTTTGTAAAGTTCTGTCTGTGGGTATATTTTTCTCGAATCCAGTTCCCACTGTTGCTCCCTTCCTGACTAGCAGAGCACGTCTTCTTTTTTCCTCTCTTTTATTTCATAATCTGTAGAAGGGCAAAGCTGAAGATTTGTGGGCTCTATCACCGAGTGATGATAGAGCAGTATACGTGCACATTTAAAAAGAAGCATTTTTCATCATAACAGGGGCCATGTGTGCCTCTAATAAAGCGCTCGCAGCAGTATATTGCAAACTAGTTAGGAGCGGTGCAGTTCCCAGAAGCCCAGATGAGTATAAAAAAGAAGTAGGTCTGAGAAGCTGTCGGGAACAGAGACATGTGACAGAGCAAGAAGATGTAATCGTCTCACATACAGGCAGTGGGAGAAAATGATCTGTAGCGTTTGAGATGCAGCCTCCCGATTAACTTTCCAAGAAGCGGCAGAGGTGGATCCTATTCTTTACGCGACAGCCAAAGTCGATGGAAAGTTTTGCATCTTCAGTTAAGAATAAGCCCCGAAGGCTTGATCCTGTGTTGAGATTTGCGTGACAGGCGTTACGCCTTCGCGGAGCACTCCCTTTTTAATATTTTGTGGTTTTTTATGTTCCAAATTAGGGTGTCAGGTTTTATGTGCTGCCTTATTGAAATTATGTAAATACCATCACTGGATGCTCAGTAGAATTAAGGAAGAAATTAATTCTTTAAGGAGGGCTCACTGTGCTATGGCCAATGGCATTTCTGAGCTCCCGTGTACTAAGAAAAGTAGAGAGTTGAAATACCTCATGAAACCTCTCGCTTCAATTTGAAAGAGCCCTTCTTCACTGATGAGATCTTTTTAATTGACCTGCTAAGATCTTAATTACATTTGATAATGTGTATTGGTTCCTGAGGAAGTTTTAATGACCTAAAAGATGCCTTCAAATACTAGTTATAGGTAGAGAAGCTGGATCCAACCTGATTCCAGTTTGTTCTATTTGCTTGCTTTCTCCATCCTCCAGAAGACGGTTTTGGTTGTTAAGGTAATTGTGGTGTTTTATTTGTAGGGTGGTTCATTTCCTGAAAAGGAATTTGAAGAGAAGAGAGGCATTTGTTTGTTCTAGCATTTGTTTGTTTTCTCTTATTCCGAGACTTTCGGAGTTGGCAAGCATCTCTGCTTGTGTATCTTCAGCAGCGTGCTTAACCCCATAGCTATGTACATATTCCCCCCAAGCATCAGGCAGAAGTCTTATCTCTGTGTGCATGACATACAGCTTGCTCCATGGAAACACTTTCAGATATCCTTACCAGAGGAAGGAAATGGTTCCTGTCTCTGGATTTTTACAGCCGAGCGAGTAATTCCCATTTTTCTGCTTGTGGAACATTTATAAACGGGATTTTTTTTTTTTTTCCAGATTTCTGGTGATGTTTTTCACACAGGCTGCTGCTTTTAGGGCTTTTGGTTGCACTTAGGTGGGGTAGCATCATTTCCGGTTTATGGTGAGGTGAACTATGAGTGTATACACAATCATAATTGCTTTTCTGGCATTTATGATAGCAAAACTCAGGCATATGAATGTTTACAAAAACAAACACAAAGGTGTGAATGCGACCAACAAGTAAGTTTGAAAGCAGGGGTTTCAGAATACCTGCAAGGAGTTACACCCAGGGTTCCTTTTTTAAAGTCAACCTGGCAGAAGTTAGGAACCTCTATGCTTTTAGAAAGCAAAGTTTGCCTTTTAACACTTCTTCTATGCATTCACGGCGTAGTTCCTGAATTCAAAGTCACCTCGGGGATTTTGCAGCTGGCATCCAGATTGCCTCTGGTGACCAGTCTGCAGTCAGTGGGAGCCAGATGACTACAAACCTGCCTGACCTTACAGCAAGCAGGATCCTGTAAGGACGGATCCTGGTCATCTCCCCCGCTGGAGGCTGTCAGCACGAAGGCAGATGGGACGGCTGGGGGCCTGTGGCCACACCGTACTGCCAGTAAATGTGTGCCGGCGGGGTTGCCATAAGTATACGTGCACTTGATGTTTCTCTGGGCACACCAGCATGAGCACGCAAAGCTGGCAGCAGGGATTTTCTGATAGCTCCACCATTCAGGTAGGGACTGCTTGGACTTTGAGACCACCGTTGGATGCACCCTGTGTATCTAACTCCCTTAAGCTGTTTTGATGGTCCTAACATAAGAAGATGCATGGATATCAAGGGGTATCTTTGTGCAGTGTCCTTCTGACTTTAGCATCAGTGAGTGCTGCAGCATCGGCAGAGTGTGCGGGGATGCAGATACAGCACTGCATACACAGACCCTCAAGGAAAGGGAATAGTGACCTTAACCTTGACCATGGGTCTTCTGTGACTTCCTGGCTGCATTCGGTACTTGTTTTGTACCTGAATGGCCTGACCTGCCTCTGGTGGGACCGCGCGTGTAGGGCGACGTGGCAGGGGATGTTATCCATGTGCACTTCTGGTTTGGGAAAAATTGCATAAAGGATTACGTGGTCTCATTTGAGAAATTGAGTTTCTTTATCACAATTTGCATTCACAGAGGAGTGAAGGGAAAGGGCATGTGTGGGAGCTGGGCTGTCCCAGCCTTCTCCTCCTTCCGCTCGGCTGCTGCTCAGATGTAATGCCTTGGCATGGATAATGTGGCCATGAAAGGCAATGGGAAGCGCTGAACTCTGTGGGCCAAACCCTCAGTAAGCTCACCACCATCCGTGCACTGTCCTTTAAAATGTCTTTTCCAGCTGCTTAGAGCAGCCCAAGTGGCTAGGCTGGTAAGACAAAATTTTAAAAAGAGAAGGAAAAGGGCTGAGATTATTAGTGGCAAGGCCGATGGCTGGTGTGCGTGTGCATATATAAAATGGTGAAGCGATTTGAGAAGGGACTTGAGTTAGTAAAAGTGGATATGCAATCCTTTTGGGACAATGGTTCCCCATCCCTGTAGTGACTTTCCATTCACCGTGTGCCCCTCTCCAAAGTCACAGTGCGAATAATAGCAATATTTGGTCCCGAAGGAGCAGCAAAGAAAACGCTGATGGAAATTTTAGCCATGACACAGCTATCTCTAAGCTCTCCCCCACCTCCGATGCAACATGCAATCTTTCTCATTGACTGAGTTAGCATGAAATACTGCACCACTTCTGCTGTGTTTCAGCTGAAGTTAACGCTTGCCGAGGAATGCACATTAGCTATTCCAGATGTACAGGGCTGGCTGTAATGTCGTTATGGCCCCTGCAAAATAGAACCACCCACACCATTGCCAATTTCGTCTTGTGACTCCGATTATATCCAAAACAAGGGCTGGTGTGAGCCGAGCTCTGTATTTAATTCTTCTTATATTGTAATGCTGTGGTTAGAGGCAGCCAAACAGGCCTCCAGCCAGTGGTAACTGGAGCAAGTGGGACTCTTGCTTTGACTCTGGTGAATGTTGAAGTTGGTTAGTTGGTACATTGGGTTTAGAATTATTTTGGGAGCTCGTAAACAATTACTAATGAGGACAAAATGGCAAAACCTGGTCATTTGGAGGTTCTGTACTGGTTTTCCTTCTTGCTCCCATTTTCGGTAGTCTGCGGTGAAGAACATCTACGAAGTAGTTTGATTTAAAGGTTTGCCACCGTAAAAGGATCTGGGGAGTTTTATTTTTGGTCAGCCAGGTTGTGCTGGTGCTGGTGGTGTTTTTCTGGTTGGGTTTTATTTTTTTACGGGTTTTTTTTTGAGGGGTTCCTGGCTGTTTTTATTCAGCATCTGCACGTTTTTGCAAGTGTGGATTCTCTGTCGCAAGCTTTCAGGAGTTACATATTTACACTTGCAGCTGACACCTGCAAACTGGGGCACACGCTAGCAATAACAAGTTCTGTATGTAAAACACCTCACCTGTAGGAACAGGTATTTATGCTCCAAGAAACGTGTGCTCCCCAGTGGCGTAGGCGTGAAAGGAAACCAGCTCCTGGGCTGCCTGCTTTTCCAGCTTCATTTTCTGGAACTGCCCTGAGGAGCTGGAGACTTTCCTCTGAAAATCAACCCCTGGCTAGTTAGATTTCAGATGTCTCCTCTGCAGTGCTAACTGCATCTTTTCCCCCCTCTACGGTTTATAGTCTTGGAGGGTCTTGTTAACCTTCCTCTCAGGACAGTTCCTTCTTACTCTTTCTTGCAGATCATTTTGAACTCTATGCACAAGTACCAGCCAAGGGTCCACATTATTAAGAAGAAGGATCACACAGCTTCTTTGCTAAATCTGAAATCGGACGAGTTCAGGACATTTATTTTTCCAGAGACAGTTTTTACAGCTGTTACCGCCTACCAGAATCAATTGGTGAGTACGGTTGCTAATTTCCATGGATTTAACTAAATCTCACCCGTCTGAAAACTCCCTTTCCACCAGTCTAAACTAGGAAACTTTCTGATATAACCTACCCTTCCATGCCAATGTCTGTAGTGACCTTGCCCGACTTAATTCATATTCAGGAATAATTCTTATGTATACGGGATATACTACCAACTTCAAAGGGCCATAAGGATTATTCATGGAAGTAAAGATTACATGAAAGAGGCTTTCATTTGTATTCCCTTCGGTCTATACAAAGCCGTTGGCGTATTATCATTTAGTCCTTTTCTAATTATAGCTCATTAAAGAACTGTTCCTATTTGCAGTGCCCTTTCACACCACGAGCTATTAGCTGAGAGATATTCTGGTTTGCACATGATGATTTCATGGGCTTAAAAAGTTGACTAATTAAGCTGTAAGGCTCAAACGTAAGGGAAATCACTCAGAGATATACTTTTCAGAGGCTGCCCAGATTACATCCAGATGTCTGAATTTCAATTTGCATGCCAGTGAATAATATATACAAAATGGAGGAGATCATAACAATGGCTTGCTAATGAGTAATTTTAGGAAGTATATAAACAATCAGAGAGCAGAGGCTCTGCTTGACAGTGGATAAGGCTTTAATATTTAAGTCAGTGGAAATATGTTGTTGGTGTCAGCGTGATTCAGAGTGTGTTTTGAGGGGTTAAGGACCATAGCACTTTGCAAAAATATATCTTTCCCTCTCTAATTCTCCCAAGTTAAGACAAATATAAGTACTATCCAAACATGTGGGCAGGCAGCATGACAGAGTCAACGTACCTGCTGGTTTATTTAAAGAAGTCTGCATTTCTTATTAAGAAGCAAAAGTACTTAATTTCTAAATGCTATGAATAAAGTGAAACTACTGCATAGGGGGCCAAAGAAGCTATGAAGGTAATAGGAGTAGTATCAAGTCGGTGCTTGTGACAGACCCCACATCCCACTTTAGGGCTTTAATATCAGAATGAATTGATTTTAAACTCAGGTTTGTATCCGAATGCTGCAGAAAATGTATTCAGCACCTGGCAATCTCAAGAATATAATGTTTGGATAGGCGGTTAGATTTTTCCATGTAACTTTCTGTAGAAACCAGCAAAATAGTAACAGGCACGGAACCAGCTAAACCTGGAATTTATTTCTGTAGGATGGATTTGTGTTTACCGATGATATTTACACCAGAGATGTTTCTAAACTAACCTTCCCAAAGCACATACATTGAGTCCTGGAAAATTTCTCAATGGAACATCTCCGGAACCCCTAGAGGTTGATGCTGTCATTTTATTTATGACTAATGAAAATGGAGCCTTTTTTCATTTTTGCCATTTCTTTCAGAACTGTTTTAAGGAGGGGTTGATTACATTTCTGGAGGTTATTAGATAAAAGCTAAATACATTACACTTTCAACAAACTATCTCATAATTTAAGATTTAAAGGGCATGCATTTATTTAAACAGCCAAACCACTGCCACAGAGTTGAATTGTAGGTCAGATCTCATTTTAAAATGCTTTCTAGCAGATGTTCTCTGATTGTTTGTGAGACAGTCTCTCAGGAAAAATATGGCCATAAATGATTGCAAGTCTCATCTGGCTTCGGTGGATACAAAAAATTTCTCTTGTGATGTCATACCAAATCTTTAATATTAGGAGAATGGAAGTTTGATTGGTGAAAATACGCTCATGAGATGAATAGACATCCTTATTATTTTGCAGTGCAGTTGGCTCGGTGTGTTGGTGATCTAAGTCAATGGAACTGGTTAGAACTTGTCTTTGTTCAAGGTAGTTTTCAAAACACTGCCATAAAAATGTTCGCTGTACACGAGGCGCTAACCCACCGCTCTTTGCGACATCACCACGAGTCAAGGGCTTAGGGGTATCTTGGGAGTAGGATGAGACAAGGTTCTGCGGCAAGGCAAGGATTCAAGGTAGTTTCCATCATTTGTACCTGCATGATGAGACAGCCTCAAACCCTCAGCCAGCACTGAGGTCCCATGGTGCTTGACCAGCCCATAGGAACAACTGGTGAGCTGCGGTGCCTCTTGTGTAGTGCCTCAAAGCAAAGACCTTCCCCAGAGAGCTTGCCCCTGGTGGACCCACCGCACTGGGCAGGGGAGGCAGCAGCCAAGAGGTGCAGTGAGTTTCCCAGGGCCACAGAGCAGGTCGTTGGCAGCACATCATTCATATACTGCAGACCAGCAATTAAATACTCAGATTTCGTCTTTGTAAGCCTGTCCCTCCCTCTCTGTGTTTCCCTCCCAGAAGACCTCTTTCTCAGAATGAAAAGTTGGGTTCAGTTGTCCTCTTTTTTTTTTTTTTTTTCTTATTATTTGGAAGAGAAGCCACCCCATTTTGAAATACCTTTATTTGATGAGAGCATTTGATTGTTTGAGGATTTGGAAAAGCTCCCTTTTCTTTCTGAGCCTTGAGGGCCAGCTATTAAAAATAAGGTTGTGGCCTCTGCAATACAAGCTTTTTTTGAGGAAAGCCAGGCTGACATAGCTGCTCAGTATGACATGCTGAGAGCCATTGATTTTCCTGGGCTTCGGCTGGTGGCATTCACTGCCTTGCTGGACAGGTTCTCTGTTGTCTCTTGTCAATCTGTAACTCCAATTTAGTTTTATTTTTATTTCTTGGAAGAAGTATGGCTGGAAAATCTGAATATTATGATGATGTCTCAGATTTTATTCATCAAATCACATTTGGTTGGACAGCTAGAAAATTTCACAAGGGCAATGGTGTATTATTTTCCTGCTCCCAAAAAGCGCAATGGAAGCCACCACCTATGCCTGAAAAGTTTTACTGCAAAGTTAAGGGGAGCCCTGATGCTTTGTGGCAGAGGGACTGCTGATCAGTAGGTTACTCTGGCAGAATGGAAAGGCTGACAGGATGCGCTGGGCAGGTTTGTAGCTGCATTTGAAGATGGGAGGAGAGCTTTGGTTGTAAGAGCTCTGTTTTTGCAGGACTGTGATGATTTTAAGGAGGTTACCCCTTTAACCCGGGCTCTGTCACTTTAGATCTGAGTTCTCCCCACACTTTTCCTCCCTCCTTCCCTTCCTCAGCCTTTTTTCACGCAAAATCAGTTAAATTGCCCCCATGTGATGGCTAGTAGGTCTGGCTTAGAACGTTTCCATCCCAGTAAAAAAACCCAAAAAGTTCGGGATGAACTGAAGCAACATTTTCAGGTCTGCAGGCAGTGGTTCCTAGTTTGGGCTCATAGTAGGTGATGTGCAGTTCCACTGACGAGGCTCAGAGGATAGCAGGGGGCTGTGCATTGCTTGTGGAAAGGACAACCTGAGTCATGCTGTTAAAGTATTTGGAAATGGTAATGCTGTATGTGGGTGGGTTCCTCCTGAAGTGGGTAACATGAAGGCTGAGCCCACTGTGCCTTCGGTCTTTCCATTGCCATGTGTATAATATACCTTGGTTTGCACACCCCCCCCCCCCCAGCTTTGCAGCATATCAGGAATAGCGTGCACACACACACAGGAGCATGGATAAAATTAGCAGCGGAGTCAGGAGGATGGATTGGTTAACACTTTGTACGCTGCAGTACCTTAATGCTATATTCATGTTGCATTGCTCTTTTCTGTGTTTCCAGATAACCAAGTTGAAAATTGACAGCAACCCTTTTGCTAAAGGATTCCGGGACTCTTCCAGACTCACTGATATCGAGAGGTAATGGGGACTTTCTGTTTACTTTCCATGCAGATAAGATAAAGAGAAGAGAGAGTTTGTAGGAAAAGCATCCTTTCAACTCCTGAGAAGCTGTGCATTTTAATGTTATCTTGTTGCATATAGTAAGCCTCCTCCACCTCCTTTAAAAATACTTATAAACTTTATGAAGAAAGAACTGTTTTGAGTTTTGACATCTGTTCCAGTTGGGGCCAATATATTCATCGTCCTGAGGGGGCTTCTTGAAGGGGGGAGAGGGTCAGTTTTACAACTTCAGAATGAAAAGCTTTTTTCTTATCATACCATTTAATCCTATTGAGGGCTGTGAATTGGGTCACTGGGAAACAAGGGCAGTGGTCCTGTGAAAAACATCTTTATAGCTCCCCACTGCTCCACACAGTGGAAAAGAGAGAGGGGAGCTTCCTAAAATACACTTCAGCAGTCCCAGACACTGAAGTCAGCAATTATTGCCATCAGGACAAATCCCATAACTCCCACTCTGACGACAAAGATGCCATTTTTGTTTCACCAAAATTGTACTGCAGGCTGCATCAGGGAAAAGCTTTATCTGGAAACTGTTGAGTTTTGTGTGTGTACAGCTCATTATAAGCAACTGCTGCCATAGGGACAGAAGCATTAACCCACAGTTGAGTAGGAAATAAACTTCAATCTCTTGGTAGCTCTCCAGCACGTCACATTTTTATGATATCATGTCAAATATTTTGGCAAATGAAACAAATTAAGCTGCCTGCATCCTTTAGGCTGGAAGAGAACTTGATGGAGCTGGATATAGCACATCCAAATTTTCCTATGAGCACACAATCATGAAAGAAAGTTTGGAGAGGCCAAAACCCTCTAGGCTGCTTTGTGGGGATATCCAGATGTATCTGTGCATCATCTTTCACGAGTGCATATAGGGGACAAAGTGCTCAATGAAGTCATATCCATACAGCTAGAGAAAGTCTTTACAGCGTTTCAAAAGTACATCTATCTAAGCAGGTCCATGGCTGGGAAATAGCGGTATATTTTATACCTTAGTAGCGAATGGATCATTAGTGATCCGTTGAGTAATTGGGTGAAAGAATAGTAAGTTGGGAAAGCAAGCTTGTAGACTGCAGTGCGCAATTGCAAAGTTGTTAAAAATTGCTTCCTCGGTGAAAGTCTTAGTTGAAAATGGCAAAAACCCCCAAATTAGCTAATTGACAGGGTACTACGGTAAACGACATCCTCAGGTTTGTATGCAATAAATAGTCAAGAAAGGACCTGTAGGAAGAGAAGAGACTTTGATTTCTTACATTTCAGTTTCCTTGTTTCACAGACAGGCGATATCTAATGAAACGGCTTTGCAAGGACTGAGAGAGTCTGAATAGATAAGCTGGGAGAAAAACTTAGTTACCTCTGTGCAGACGAAGCAACTATCATGGTGCTGGATATGAAGGGAATTTTTCCAGAGGACATCTTATTATAACAGCACATGGCATGGAGTCAGAAATGCTGAGCATAAACTGCAGTGCCCTTTTGTTTATTGATAAGTGTAAGAATAGAGACTGAGACAGGCAACTTAGCCCAGGCACGAATGTTGCCATGAAAGATAAGGTAGCCAAACGTGAAACCTACAATAAATACAAGAAACAGAACGTGAAAAGTATTGAAATGACATTAAAACTCAGGATTTGAGAGTCCAAGTTTGGGTAAGGTCTTATTTAGACTTAAATGGAAAAGCTTAGCCCTGATCAGGGAACAAAAATATTTTAAAAAAATAAAACCTGCTGCACAATGCATCAGGTAATGAGACAACAAAAGTGTAACACACCAGAGGGCTGGTGAGAGACTGTTTGAGAATTTCCTAAGTTATCTGATCCGGTTCAGAAATACCAAGGGTTTTATTCAGTTCTAGCATTAAAATATTCAGGCAGATGAGAATGTCACCCTCTAAGTGCCCACTGGTTCTATAGATTTCATCTTCAGGCCAGAAAAATTGCTTAAAGAAATCTGATACAAAGCAAAAGAAATCACAAAGTGAGATACGACAACAGGAAGAATTCCTCGCTTGTTGTCCATCGTGATGTGCATTACAAGATGTAGGTGATACGTTGAATACTACAGCATGATTCTTGCTCAGTCTAGTTAGAAACGAGATTATTTCTATAAGATCTCTGTCTGAGGAAAATATTTATTTGCCAGGGGAAAGACTATGCAGGCCACATGCACATTTGCACAGCTCTTGAAAATCGCATCGTTCTCTAGAAGGTGTGAAAATACCTTCCACGCACTGCTCCCTAAGCAGGCATGCGAGAAGTGCGTGCATGCATAATCTGCAGTGCCGTGCCGTGATCATAATGGTCTCCTGTAAAGCATCCTGCGATGTCAGGGCCAAGAGAGCACTCATTTATCGCGGGTTCCAGCTTTTCCCAATGACCTAAGTAGTGTGAAAGTGTACAGAGCTTTGTATTTCATTTCCAGGTATTTAAGCCTGCTTTTTCCTAAACAGCCTTTGGGGAGGGAAACAAATCAGATCAATTGATCTTTAGAGACCTAAAGAAATTAAATTAGTCTGGAGTCAGTTACTGCACTAAACCATCCAGTAATTGGATTGCTCCTTGTAACTGATTGAAAACAGCCTCTATCTGTAACAATATAGGGAGCTTTACTTTATAGTAGATCTGAGAGAAAAACACATCTTTTTATGACATGATGACAGAAATTGCACTTTTTTAACCTAATTGAATATGATTTTATAAATATGTGACTTTAATGATTTCAGGCTTCCCATTCTAGATTTACGATCCCTGTGTAGGAAATTCAAGCTGCAAATGCCTTTAGGATTAAATCTGTTTGCATTATACGTGTTGGAGTTAAAATAATATATGTAAAGGTAGTGAAATTTGCAAAATGGTAGAGGAGGTAGGCAACAGCAAAGCTATTGAAGTGCCTTTCTTTTCTTTCTGCCTATACACCTTACAATGGTATCCTTATACTCATAGTTGTATATGCAAAGCCTTTAACCATTGAAAAAATCTTTGGTGGGTTTGGTATACACTGAATTTTCAGTAGGATGTGAGAATCCTTGCACAACCAACTCTTTCCATACGTTACTTGCGGTAATCTATTTATGGTAATGGGGCAGACTTTATCTGGGGCTACTGTGATTTAGATAAGTTGCTGATTCACCTTTTGATCTTTTTATGTGGTATTTACATTTCCTCTATTATAAAAAGGCTCCCACAGTGGTTGTGATTGAAAAACCTAACATTTAGCAGCAATTGTCAGAATGTGGAGCTTAACATACTGTGGCGTTGACTACGGGATACCAAATGCAGTAATGTGGATGAGCGTGATCTTTTTTAATGGTAACCTTTGTGAGAAAGACTAATGCAGGTTTTATGAGCAATTTACTCTGGAGACAGTCTTTAAGGCAACATCTTTATGCTTCTGCTTAAGAAAAAACTGCCAAAGCCATGAAGAATGCAAAATCAGAACTCAACACATGGATTTTTTTAACTTGAGCCTGAATTCATCTTTTGAGTTGTAAAGAATTAGCCTTTTAAAAATTAATAGATAATAAATAAAACCATCACTATTAAATATCATGCAAACAACCCCATGAAAAAGGTGACCATTTCAGGAGTGTGAGTCAACAGAACTACTGAATCGTAAAATAATGATCAAACAAGAACTGACAGATCATAGTCATGATCTGAACATTGCTCCTTTAGTTGATCCAGCATGTGATAGGCAAGTTCAGGGTGTGGACTTTTGTATTAAGGTATTAAAGAGAGCTAAGGGAGTATACCCCTCTGCACAAGTCCAATAATGCTTCCGGGAGGTAGATACATACTTCAGGCAGCAATATCTTAGGTAATGGAAAAGTATGGCTGCACACTCAAGAAATTTTTAGGCAGAGAAAGAAAGGATTGGGGGATGGGGGAAGTAAGTAAGAGAGACACATCCCAGCTGGATTTGCATGGTAATCAGATTCTGAATTTTCCCCTGAGGAACTTCATGTCTGAGATGTGGAAATACATTGTACAAGCTTACAAGGCTGTAAGCGAAATTGATGCTAATATCTGGATACGGGCACTGCTCAGTTGAAGTAGTAGTCAAAGCCATGTGCTTAATGATGTGCTGTCCACAGCAGTCCTTCCATCCCTTCCCTGCTCACCCCCACAGAGCTACCTTTCTCCCTGTTCCTACTTCTTACTGCTGGTCTAGCAGAACTTCCCTGACTCTTGAAAGCACCCTACCAGCAGCCAGAAATACATTCTCTCTATGACCTACTTCCATGTCCATGGTTAAGTAGGGCTTTGTCATAGTTCTCCTCCAATAAGTCAAACTCACCAGCTGATCTTTTATCCTCAGCTCGTTCTCAGTCTGTGAATATTGGCGACTAGCCTTGGGAGATCATCTCCGATGTTTAGGTCGGGAGAAGTATGAGTGTAGAGAGAAACACCAGGGACTTCAGTGGTATCTGGTCCCATTCCAGATATGCTCAGGTTACTCCAGCCTCCAGCTGCTGCTCCAGAGGGGTAGATGGATTGTCTATATTTCTGTGTCTTCCCTTGTGTTGCAGACGGCTTGGATGTCTTAAGACATCTAGAAATCACTACCCGCCTACATTTAGACACCTGAAGCATTCCCTACAAATCTGATTCCTCCAACTCTGCTTACTGTTAGCCAGGCAACTGTTCCTTTTCCCCAGCAGAAAACCCTCCATGCCAGCTAAAAATCTCTTCAGCTCCCAAGCTTTTAAGCACTCATACCCTGGCTCATTTTCCACTTAGGTATTCTGTTATTTATCTTTTTACTTGTGCACAACAGTGTAAGTGTGTTTCATTTTGCTAGTGTTTTCCACTCACATGCAGGTGTAGCACATGCATAAGGGGAAGGGATGATTTCAGATCAGACCCCCAGTTTGCACTCCAGAGGAAGTTTTCCAGGGACTTCCCCCAGGTTCACGGCACTGCTCTGTCCTCACTTCTCATCCTCTGCCTGCCAGTCAGAAA